TTGGTTGTTAGGTCCTTCATTAGGGCTTGTAATGTGTCTCATTTCACATGTACAGCCTCTGCAGACTTGAGGAAAGCCCTTGGGCAGGGAGGATGGCCAGTGCAGCCCGTGGGTAATGGCTGATGAGCCATCTGCCAAAGCAGCTACCAGCACTCCTGCCTTACTGGGGTTCTGGCTTTTTGATGTGATGTGGACTGTCTATATGCATGGAGGGAGGAAAAAAGGATCAGACAACAATGTGAGCTCTTTGCGAGGTTATGTTGTCTAATGTTCCATAAACACATAATTCCAGTTGTTCGTTCTCACCATTGGGTGACAAAACAGTAAATCTTACCTGTTGTAACAGTAGCTTTCTGGCAACCAGGCTTCATTAATATGTATTGGAAACCTAAAATAGTATTCAGCTGTGAGGGGGGGAAAAGTACAGAATTGCTTTGGATTATACTAATTTCAGCAAAGCATCTAATTTATATATTAAGCTTGCTTAATGGACTTATATTGCCATGCTCTTTGATCAGAAGAAAAAGGTGGTGAATAATTTATCAAATATAAAAACCTCCCCTAGCCCAGCCCACATGTCACAATCTGCCCTATAATTTACACATTTTAAGAGATGCTGTTTCCAGGCAGGAGAACTGGTTCCTAAAGATTCTTTCTAATAATGCACATGTATTTTCACAAGGTACACTCTGGGGAAAAAAATAATAATGAAGGAATGCAATTCTGCAGACAAATGTTTCAGCTCTGTGCCTTCTTCATTGGAGACAGTCATTTCAACTAAATGCCAAAAGGCATTTAGCTGTAGCATTTGTCAGTGGAATAGGGTTGGCTTTAGGTTTCCCTCCTGCTTTTCAATTGACTGTTTATTGGGTTTATTGTACTGTAGCATGTTTTGTTAACCTCTCAAAAAACACAACCAGCTTGTGCATTAATCACAAGGATGGTATCTGTCATGGTAAACTGGGTCAGCGTGGGGCTTTTCTGCCCCTCCAGACTTGTGGAAAGGATGCTGGCTCTTCCTGGAGGAGCAGGGGAGATGCACTGGCAGCTTCGGGCTGGGGTCAAGGACCTGTCCAGGTCCTGGCTCCAGAGATTCTTTTTTGTGAGGTGCATGATCTGTTTCTCCATGTCTCTATTTCTCAACCAGAAGAAGAGGCTGACATGTGTCATGTCAGCTCGCAGAGGCTCGGGGAGGTGCGGGGCGCGGGGGCCTGCCATAAAATCACATGCCTAAGGAGCATTTAGGTGGTGTGGTGGTGTTTAAAGCCTAATCATTGGGAACTTTGTGCCTGGAGTTACTCAACTGGTTTGTGTCTACCTGTTGCAGTCATACCTCAGTAATCCCTGCTTCTGGTGACATGCATAGGTAATCACAGCTCTCTCATCACTCCTGACACTTCTCCCATTCACATTTCCCTCCCCCCCATTTCTCCAAAGCAGTGGGTTGTCAAACATTTACTATGGCTGTGCTGCAGCATTTATTCATATTTAAATAAAGCCATTATCCTGGCCTTGAGTTTCAGTAGTTTTCTGCTCTTCCTTTTGAGTATTTCTCTCAGCAGTGCCATCTAATCAGCTTTAGGTTTTAATTAAACAGCTGTCATTTGCTTCCTAGTTCTGTTGCGACCTGATGTTGTATTAAATTTTAATTTAGCCTAGGCTGGATAAGAAGTAGATTCCTTCAGACAACAAAGAAACGCTATTAGCAGGTTACAGTTGTAATTAAGAAGAGCTTTGCTGAAGTGCTAATGCATTCAGGTACAGAAAAGGAGCTGGAGATAAACATGCACATAATTATTATTCAGGGATAAAGCCTACAATATGAGCGTGTAGCTTCCACCAGGGCTGCTTGAATTGAAGGTGTTGGTCAAGATCTGGCAGCTGCAACCCTCACGAAAAGAAAGAGGAAGGGATTCCCAGATTTTCACCTGGGACCTGCAGTGCCAGCAGTTAGAGTTTTGTGCTGGTTGGTGTTCCAGATGTTTCACTGATGCTGCGCCACCCGGGAGGACCTGCCTATGTAAATCAACATTATTACCCTCTCTACTTTTCAGATGCTGTTAGTAATAATCAGCACAGGTATCTTAAATTCAATAAGCCTTTTCTTCTGCAGTAAACCCTACCATGGAAATATAAACCAAGCCTAAAAGAATTTAGATGAAATGATATTACCTGATGAAGATGTACTAAAAAAAAAAGTGTCTTTATAAATCTAACGGACAGTCAGTTAGTTCAGTTCTGCCTTCATATATCTTCCTCAGAGGAAATATATTTTTTCAGCCTATAAATAGCCAGCTCTTCAAAAGGTCTTTACGCAGCCTATTATACTTGTGTTACACTCGATGCAGGCATAAGGCATCTGAAATATTGATGTATATAGTAGAATTGCTTACCAATGAAGTGCAGTTATTGTGAAGCAGCACCAGCTAATTAGCATGGTGGGTACCTGCTCACACTGGGAAGGAGGGAAAGTTTAGCTCAGAGTCAAGAATAGGATGGGCATATTTCAGAGCACCCACAAATAGCAGGGTTGTGAAGTGTCTTCTGAGTCCTTTTATCTTGTGCTCATCTTCACAGGGAGTTTACAAAAGGAATGCAAATGTCATTGTAAACTTTGCATTATCCTTCAGAGCATCAAAGTTTGACTTCAGCTTGGTAGTGAAGCAGCACTTAGAGCTAAAAGTAGGCTAGAAGGTGTGCTGATTCTTTGTCACACATGAGGCATACAAGTGCTGCCTGCCCCTGACACGTTTCATAGCTGTGCTAACAGAGAGTGGGGCTGGGAGTAGAATTAGTTGCGTGTTCGTTGTTTGTGACCTTGGCAAAAAGCCTGTTTGATCTGATGCACTGATGGAGACTGTTGGTTGTGGAAGAATGGTTTAGAAATGGCACATTGGCAAACTGCTTCTTGAGAGCGTTTTGACACAAGACCGCTGTGTCTACATCATATATCTGGTGTATGTTTATATTGGATTCATTGGCTGACCCATCCCGGGCAGTGTTCAAGGCCAGGTTGGATGGGGCTTGGAGCAACCTGCTCTAGTGGAAGGTGCCCCTGCCCGTGGCAGGGGGTTGGAACTGGATAAGCTTTAAGGTCCCTTCCAATCCAAACTGTTCTGTGATTCTATGGTGGCTTAGGATTTATGGGATATTTGCTGTTGTTTTGCTGGAATCTACCTCTTTTCTGACATACTTGTGGATGAAGCACCCTCAGTTTCTCCTTGTCTTACACAAGCTCTTTCCACCCGAATTACATCTAATTGTTTTCTTTCACCTGGCACTGCATTTTTCTCTTAGTTTTGTTCAAACCTCAGCCTTTGTAAAGCTTTTAGAGTTGTTCTTTCACACTTCTCTTTTTGTCACATACTTCCCTCTTTCCCAGTGTCCCTCCTTCATGGATAGCAGCTGGTTATAAATAAGCCCATTCAGCATAAAAAAACTAGACAGTCATTTAGTGTGTAAAACATCTGGTTTGTTACTCACAGAGAACAGAACAAAGACAGTATATTTATTTCATGAGGTATTATTTAGAAAAGCATCTCTATTCAGGACAACACTTAAATGCTTAAATCCCATTGAAATCTAAGTGTCAAGTTGAGCACATACTTTTAGTGCTGTTCTGAACAGAAATGGACTCGAGTACATGCTTAAATGCTTTTCTGGAACATGACTGCCCATAAAGCTCTAGTAGACTCTATTAGTTAGCTGGCACTAGTGTTACTAGTACTTCAACTCATTTAATTCAGGGTGCTTTTTGTAGAAGTTTCTGAATATTGATTAATAATACATCTTAGTTGCAAGTGTTTATTGGTCTTCTCCAGCTGTCCTAAGATTGTGGTCAATGCCCATTATTTTCTATCAATCTAGCTGGCAGACAGAAGCAAATGATAGCGAATGCATCTCCCTATGCAAGCTGCCATCAAATTTTTCACTAAAATCCATTTTTAATTCCACCAATTCTAATAATGGAATTTAAAGTTAGATTAGTTTGAAGCAACTTTCCCCCACCCCCCCACCCCACCTGGCAAGCAATTAGTTTTATGGAAGTTGAAAAATGAAAAGTGGATTGATTCAAAGCAGCATTTCCTATTGCAGGCTTTTTGAGAAGGCCAAGCTGAACCTGTATGAAAGCCCAGATTGGTCCTTGCCCCACATGTGTGTGTCCAGTTTTAGGCATGCCAGAAGCACTGCTTAAGCAGAGATAAGCTGCTCATAGGCCTTTGGAGGCTGTTCCCCTCCAGCCTCCATACCTGCTTATGCAAGGCAGGGACCTCTGTAGCAACTCATTTGGAGTAATTAATCAAACTGCAGCCGTACTGAGATGCAGAGGAAGGCTGTGTTAATGGAGTCATTAGAATGCCAGCACTGAGAATTCATCAGGATTAGAGATAAATGTGGTAAAACATCTCTAGGTGGGATTTTGATAGGCAAAGATCAAAACAAAAGTGTGTAGATGGCATTGCTTAGTTTGTAATACCCAACTTCATGCACAGTTTTTCCCATCATGTATTTATAGCCCAAAAAGGGAAAATGGTCAACTTGCAACAATGCTAGCTGGAACAGTAAGGAAGAAATGCTGTTACTGTAATGCTTGATAATCACCTCCCACATCACTGGCATGATCTGTGGCAAAGGGGTGGGCAGAGTCAGTGACACCCTCTGGGGATCATACCTGAATCACCCTGTGGTTCTGCCAAGCTGCAGACATGCCTTCAGGTGTAATTGAGTTACAGATTTCATTGCTGCAGACCTGCAAATGGGCTCAAAAAGGGTAAATCCATGTTTGTCAAAACCAGAACTTGGTGGTCGAGACTTTTGGCTTAGAAAGTTCTCAAACCATTGTCTGCAGGGACCTCGAAGGCTGTGTGCAAGGAAGGGTTGCTCCTCTGCTCCTGTCCCCGTGAGAGGCAGGGTGTTGGTGCATCAGTCTGAGCTCTGTGGCATTCTCATGCTTTTATGCTTCTCTAATGCCCATTCTTCATTTTTGTGTGTGCTTACAGGACACGGAAGTCCTCAACACAGCCATTCTGACGGGCAAAACGGTGTCTGTACCAGTCAAGGTGGTTGCCGTACAGGAGGATGGGTCTGTGGTCGATGTTTCAAACTCCACTGAGTGCAGATCGGCTGATGAAGACGTCATAAAGGTAAGGCCACCTGTATGGGGTGGAGAACAGAGGTTTCACCCTTTTCTCCTCCATCACCACCATAATGGGACTTAGCCCACATTAGGGCTTCACCTGAACCTGTTGTTTTAGAGTCATGGTTGTTTCTGTTGTGGCGTGTTGTTTCCATGGTGCAAAGAGGAGAGCGGTCACCAGAGGTTATGCAGGGTTAGCATGTTTCCATCAACTGGAGCTGTTTGTGCTGATGTGTTCCATATGGGAGAGAGGGACAGGGCTGCTGAAAGAGCAGTACTAGTTTTCTTTTGCTGGCCAGCCAGTGCTGATGAGAAAGAATGTGTTGTCTGATACATTCCACTTGGGAAAAGTCAACTCCCCACACAGGGGGCTTTGTTCTTGTGTGGCTTTTCTACATCCATTATTTAATAATAACGATGCAGTATATTGTAACGGTGTGCAGCAAGGTTTCCTACATGCTTCTGACTGCTTTCCACTCAGGAATTTCTTACAAGTAAAGGTACTGAACTGTACCAAATGTCTGGAGGAGTATGACAGAGAATAGAGAATAAGGATCATATTGCAAACATTCTTAGAATGAGAGCTGGGAGCTTTTAAACAATGTTGTGGTTTGGGGATTTTTAATAATAGCTCAACTGGTTCTCCCTCCCTGACATTGAGATGAAAATAGCATAATGTGACTTCAGCAAGACATTGACTGTGCGACTTCTGACACCATTACATGGCTTTCAGCTTTTAGCTCATCATTATTTTTAGGCCTAAAAGAGGTACTTTTGAACATCTTTAATAGGTTTATTTGTTTCGTCACATGGTTCAGGGGTGTTTTCTTCATGTTTTAAATCACAGACTGGTTTGGGTTGGAAGGGGCCATAAAGCTCATCCAGTTCCAGCCCACTGCCATGGGCAGGGACGCCTTCCACTAGACCAGGTTGCTCCAGACCCCATCCAACCAGACCTTGAACACTGCCAGGGATGGGGCAGCCACAGCTTCTCTGGGCACCCTGTGCCAGAGCCTCAGCACCCTCACAGGGAAGAACTTCTGCCTGATATCTAGGAATTTAAACTGGCCACTGTCAGCTTAAAGCCATTCCCTCTTGTCCTGTCCCTACAGGCCTTTGTCAAAAGTCCCTTTCCAACTTTCCTGTCAGCTGCTTTAGGCACTGGATGCAGGACTGCAGGCAGGGTTTCACAAGAGGGGGAGAATCACCTCCCTTGACCTGCTGGTCACTCTCCTTTTGTTGTGTCCCAGCATATAGTTGGCTTGGACCCATGCTAAGCTTCTTGTCAACCAGCTCCTCCAAGTCTTTCTCCTCAGCGCTGCTCTCAATTCGTGAGATTTAACTTAAAGAAATGAACTTAAGAATTGACTACAATGAATTCAGTATAGAGGTGGGCTTTTTTTGTTGTTATATATGTATGTATATATGTATATATTTCTCAGGGTGGTCCTAGAAAGATAGTCTCTTCGTTTCAGTTCCAGGAAAGTGCAGTATATTATATATAAGCACTATAAAAAATAGGGTAGTATGGTCATCCTTTTTACATAGTAATCCTATAACCTGTAGATCTTGCGATAAACTCTCTCTGTAGCTTTCAAGAAACAAGTTTCTCCCCGTGTTCTAGCTACCAATTGTGTTCTGTGTGAATGTATTCCAGGCCTGAACACTTCTTTAAGTTTTCTTCAGATTGGATTTGAAACTCACATCCTGTACCTGTGTGCTTCTAACCCGTTATTATAACCTCTTCGTAGATAAGGCTGCAAAGGTTCTAATAGATAGCTTCTACTTTGTCAGATAAATTTCATGTGCTTTAGCTGGCTAAGGAATTGCACACTGCAAAGCTATTTATTTTCAAGATGATACACTGGAACAAAAAATTCACCTTGTGACAACTCTGAATAAGCTTGTTACCAATTTTTGGAATAAAATGCATCCTCTAAACCAAACAGAATTTCATTACATTTTAGCTTCCACAAGAAAGATACTCCTTTGCAGTTAAAGAGATTACAGAGCAACTGTAACTTCGTAGATATTTCCTCTTTCAGAGACCTATAGGTAGGTGAAACATGCCAACCTTTGGATCCTAGGTAGCAACAGGAGAGGCAGGATGGGTTTGGGCAACAGCCTTAGTCAGGCAACCTCTGCTTGCTTCTTGTTTCAGTAAGATTTATCTCCATTTATCATGAAGGGAAATAATTCATAAATAAGATTCAGATTATTGAGCAGAGACATGTGTTCTGTTGTATACTCAGACAGGATGATAGCTTGGGGCTCAGTTACAGTGCCTGGTGCTTTTCAGACCTCGAAACGTTTTGCAGAGGACATCAGTGTGATATTCCCTTTACATGAAAGTGACTGTTCCAGTGTTTAGCCTCAGCCAGTGATGGAATAGGTCTCTCGAGTCTCTAGCCTCTGATTGTGTATTTTCCCTTATATATCAGGAAAAAAATCACATTTTCTGTAAACCAAATTTTGTCCTTACCAGAAGGAACATGAATGACTGTTTATGACTATCTTAGTTGTCAAAGGAATAGACTTTCCTGATAGATTTTGCTGTTCTTTTATTGCTGTGTACCATACACCCGTTATCTGATTAATGGCTGTTATTTATCAGTTGATAAATATGAACAATGAATTGTTCATATTATGAACTCAGGCACCAAGTTATATATCATCAACATATTGCCGAGACTGTCTTTTCTTTGCACTTCAGAAAACCAGATCCAGGATCTAAACTTTTCTTTCTATTAATTTGTCTTGGACTTGATATAGTTAGAGAATACTGGGCTGAACTAGCTAGGAAGAGATCAGGGAAAATACTCTTATTCCTCTTCCACTAATAAAATTAGTATCTGCAGACATTAGGGAGATGTTGCATTTCAAAAACCAGCCTGTTTAAAGTCTGTTTGGTTCAGTCAGCAACTCTGGTGGTTCTGGTTCCCAAATTTAGAAGGTTCACTGAAGCTGGCAACTAACTAAGGTTTGACATGACCTCTGTGAGCAGAGACAAGATTTCTAGTTGTGGTTGTGGATTTATACACTGCAGGAAAGGAAAGCTCTTGCCTTTGACCATCTTCCTCTCTCGCTTTTCAAAATGGGTTGTGTGTCTGGGTGGAGTTAGATCTGCTCCAAAGCACCTTCAAGCTGATGAGCATCCTCCCATTCCTTTCAGTGATCTGATTCGGAGCAGACCAAAACACAGGCCAAGATTCTGCAGAGGCGTTACACGATTTGCACTATAATTCCTTTTGGCTTTGGTAGTGCGTAAGTTGGTATAAATCAGGGCTGAATTTGTCTGCTGTGTGAAATTCTTTGGGTATCACATCACTGACAGAAAGGAGAGATTCTTTCCCAGAACTGGTGCTCAACTTTCTAATATATTAACCTAATGAAGAGGTCAGAATGTGGTCTTCACTGAGTTCATTTTGCATCATCCTGTTGATATAAAATGGGAGTAATGTTATTTTTGTGAAAATCACAGTATGCCTATAATGGATTTCAATCACAAACTACTGCAAGGTGCTTTCAGACTCAATGCCATTCAGGCATCATTTTTTTAACTTGAAATACATGTATTGGTTGTAGGATTGAATCCATAACCATTAATTACCTGAGGTAAAATTTAGTACAGAGCTTATGTGCCTGTATTTTTCAGAAAAATGAATATTCCATTTACAAGCCCCTTTGCTAAAATCAGTATTGACTTTGCTTCCAAATTTGTGTTGCTTTTTCTATATAGGTCATACTGCTAAACCCTTTAAAAGGAGTTGTCAGGCATTTTGGATGTAATTGCCTAATCTTAACCTTCTTTTCACTGTTAATTCTGCCTTTATTGTTTCTTTGTAATTGGAGAGATATTCATATTCTTTTGAGCAGAACAGAGTGTTGCATTCTTAACCTTTTATTTCTGTTTAATAGCTGATGATTTAGTAGACAATTAATGAGACAATTCTTTGATCACTGCTGTAACACCATTATTTTCAATTAAGACACAATGAATCGAAGCCAGTTAAATAAAAACAGACTTTGGCTCAGGATATTACATATTTATACAGAACGTGCTTCCATGGGCAGTTACCTAGATGTCACACTGACATAAATACTACTCAGAGATGGTCAAATAGGTAGATGATGTACGAGTGATTTATCTGTAGGTAAGAGATGGGAATCTGTCCTATTCTGAGCTGTATAGTTCCTCAGCTGAACAGTTTAATAGCTTCCCAGCAAAAGAATATTTCAGTCCACACTTTTCAAAGGCTACCTTAATTAGAGGTAAATATAAAAACACATCCGGTGCTTTTTGACCCTGCATTTTCTGATCCTAGCGTGCCTTGATCCTAAAGGAATCTCACAAAGAAACTTGCTCAGTTCAGCTACAAACCCTAGTCCCTGCAATTGCTGATCACTGCGTTGGACTCTTAAGACTGACCAACCATTCTGACTGGCTGCCCTCTAAAATATTTTGATGGAAACATTCCTGTAAGTCAGTGGAACTCTTTTGCTTATTCCATTATTGAAAAGGAACGTTGAACGCTTTTGGCATTTGAGGGAAAAGATTGGGTTTATGATTAAGGCACTGAACTGCTTCTCAGCATTAATTTCCATATCTCTTGCTGATTTCCTGTGTGACTGTGGGTAAATCACTCATTCCCCTTGGAATGTTGCTTCCTTATCTGCAAACAAGGCGGACAAATAACATCCTTTTCCCAGCTTTGGCCTGTCTTACATAGTTTCTGAAGCTACTGTTGACTCTGAATGGACAAAATCCTTATCTCCACTAGTCTCATTAACTTCAGTGGTCTTTTGCCACAAACTCACTTGAAGGACTTCTCTCCCAGTGTCCCCACTTTTCCTGCAAACCACAGCTAAATAGGGTTGTGGAGCTGAAAAGAGAAAAGTGGTGGAAACTTGATAGAATTTATTGATAAATTGTTCAGCTAGTTTGGTAATGGGCAATGCACTGAGAGATAAAGGATCTGTAGGCATGGTGGGATGAACCTTTCTATA